TTTTTATTTGTTATAATGTTAAATAAAATTGAATAAATAATCTCTACCACAATCAATTCCAACAACATAATTGAAATCTTTTTAAAATGGGTTGTTATAAGATGAAAATAAGAATATTCTAAGTTATCATAAGAAAGTTTACATTTACTATATTGTTCAGAATATTTGAAAATATAATTTGATTTAATATAAATGTAATAAATATTACTTTTTGAAAAAAACTCTGAAGGGTTTTCTCAGTGAATTTGATGTAATGGTTGGTCATAATAATTATATGTCTGATATTTGACAAAATCTTTATAGATTATTTTAAGAACTAATTTATTAACAATAAATAATAAAATCGAAATTTTATACATTATTATGTAGAATTTGTGAAAAAACTAATTCAACAGTATTTTTTTATGTGATAATATTTAGGGTTGGATACCGGTCTTGTATCGGTCTTGGGACTGGTCTTCACGGTCTTCGGTCTGAGATTTGAGGACCGGACCGGACCGGGACCGATTATATAAAATTTATCATTTAATATAAAAATATTAAATTATAAATTATTAATAAAGTTTTCATTTCGAAATATCAAATTTTTCATATGTTGGTATTTTTGTAATATCAATATCATTTGATTCCTCATTGATGCTTTAAAATGTTAAAGTACTATATGCAATTATTTTGTGTTACATGATCAGTATCAATTTGATAATTTATTTTTATTCCTGTTGCAATTTTTTTTTTTCATATTTTTGATAGTTTTAAAATTATATCTAGTATTGATTTTATATATTTGGGTCATACTTAGTTTATAATGACAACAAAGGTAACTGGTAATAAATAATAAATTAATGTCATAATTTTTAGTGCGACCTGCATTTCATTATCTCGTTGATCCAACCCAACAATACTTCTATTATAAATAAGATAATTTAAAAATTTTAAGGACCGGACTAATCCAACCCTAATAATATTGGACAAATGATCGCAAAATGATCGGCAATATCGTGATAATATGGTGATGTCCGCCCTGTTAATGTTTACTACCTTCTAAGTTTAATGGTTATACGTTAAATAAACCTTACATCAAATAATTAAACTGGGATAATTTCCCTTACTTTATTTCTCTGGACTTAATAATATTAATAATATAAACATTAATTAAATCTCAGGCGTACCATGAGCAATTCCATTTGCAACGTGTAAAAAAGGGAATAATTATATTATCATTATTTTATAACGTTCAATCTCGCTATTTTATTTTAGATTTTACTGACTATACAGTACACAATTAAAATCAATATTTAATACATTAACAAAAATGAAATTCAATATTTTCCTTCTATTATTAACTATTTTTGTTCCCGTCACTTTAGCAGCGCCACCTGAATATGACGCTACTCCGGCTAGTGATAGTTCATTTTTTTGGAAATTTCAGTACAAGTTCTAGTAATTGGAATATTAGTAGTAGAGTTTATAATTTTGAAAATTTACCTGAACTAAAAAATATATCACGTTTATAATGTGATATACTATTTTGCAGCCACAGTTCAACCTTTTTCAGTTCAACCTTTTTTCTTTCTTTCCCTTTCCTTTGTCCTTTCCCCTTTTCCTTTTCACTCCCTTTATCCTTCCCTCTCTCCCTACAATTTCCTTAACGAAACATTTAGTAATGTTTCTTCTATTCCACATTTTTGATCTTTCACAAATTTCTTTAACGTTAAAATAATTTTTTTTTTTATATATATAATGTTGAACATTTTTCTCTTGTAACTCCTATTACGGCACTCCAGTCTTTTCATAAAAAATAACCATAGCCATTTTAAATAATTTTATTAATAATTAATATATATCAATAAATTCACTTTTGACTAATTTATTATTATTCTTGAAGAAATTAGTTGAGTATATAAAATAAAATTAAAAATGGTTGTTTTCATAATAATAAAAGATCCTATTAAAGTTTTTAATAATAAAGAAATTTAATTTCTTGTTAAAACATTTTAATTTCTTGAATAAACATATCATTTATTAACAGATATTTCCATTAGTATAAAATATACATGAATATAAAATTCTTTAGTTTATTTCTGAAAATATGTATTTCTAATAATACAATACATTTTTTGATGTACCTATTGATTTTCTTTTTTGGAGGTAAAAAAATTGAAAACAAGAAAACTGAGCGACTTATTCATATTGTGCGATGTAACTAACAGCTAATATTATGAATATATATTTCTTTTTATTTCAATCCTTCCACCATGATAATATTTAAGAATAATATGACTTCTTAATAATTGTTTTAGTTTGTAACTAAAATTTAATTTAAAATCATCTATACAAATGATAAATTAAAAAAAATATCCATCAATAAATGGATAATTATTTAAATGAATATTATAAAACTAATTAGCTAATATATAAGATTTCATGGAATCTTTATTTAAATTGGATATGGAATTCTAATATTATGAAAAATTAAATTCTTTACTTTTGAATGATTAAATATTAAAATGTAAATAATGAAATGAAATGTTATTATCAATTTTCAGTTCATAATTATTAATATTAAGAATAATTGCAATTAAAATTAAAACTTTTAATTAATTAATTAATTAATTAATTAACTCTTTTTTTTTATGGTAAAAAGTTAGAAAAAGCTAAAATTATTTTTATCAAAATCATTTTGTACAAAATATAAAAAAACTGACTAGGCAACTTCTTTTATTTTAACTTTAAGATTTACATTTCTTTTATTTATTATTCTTTACAATTGAGTTTTTTCTATAATGATAAATTATTTTTTAAAAATAGAAAAAAATACAAGCATTAAAATATGAAACTAACTACGTCTAACCTTCTTTCCCCCTAATATTATTAAAGTTAGGGGTTAGGATTAGGGTTGGGTTAGGTTAGATTAGGGGTTAGGTTTATTTATCACAACGTATCACACCCAACGGTCTTCATTTTTGGGGATTTGAAAATTTTTTGTTATTAAAATCCAATTTGTCACACCTTATTCATCATGGAAGGTTCTTAAAATAAATTTTTATACTTTTAAATTGCATGTGACACTTGTTACATATTTTATCTGTAACATCTTGAAATGGCTACACAATCCAAAAAGGAAATTTTGCTCCCGGCAAAAATTAACTTACATAAGGTTACTCAATTTGAAATTTTTTTGCAGGTCACTTGATAAAAAAAATGTTTTTTGTAAAATAAATCAAAAATGACATTTAAAACCACCTTTGTCATCTGAGGAAATTTGCAGAGAAGGCAAAAATACATTTATTACATTATTTTTTAAAATTATATATTGATATATTATCATAAACTTTTCTTGTCATTTTGTTTTAGAGAACGTTACAAATAAGACATGTAACACTGTAACAGGATGTTACATATATATATTCTTAATTGAAATGAAAAATATTATAGCATAAACAAAATATGCTTAAGAATAAGGCCGCTCCGATAAATAGTTTCATTTAGCATCAATCCCCCACATTTTTGCCAAAAAATTGTATTTAAACGAACACTTTGTATTAAATATTATTGGTCAATTAGCTTTATTAGACAAATGATTGTTTAAAATTTTTTGTATTGTTTAAAATTTATTATGATCTCCCACAAATTTTCTTATGCCATCACTGCCATGTGATGTCAAATGAAACTATTTGTTGGAGTGGCCTAAAAGAAAATTATATAAAACTGATTATAACAATTTATTTATTTATAATTTTTAAAGCAATATATTTACTATTTAGGAAATTTTAGAAAAATAAACACTGTAAATAAATATTCTTAATAATTAAAGAAAAATTACTGTTAATTATTGACTTTTTTTTGAAGCTCATCTAAACTATTCTTTGCAGATTCATATCCTTGTTTGGTAGATTCATTATTTAAAAAAATGGTTTTCTTGATAATTTTCATACCAATAAATTGCTTCATTTATATCTTTTGCAATTCCATCTCCCTTTTCATACATTAAAGCAAGATTATTTTGTGCGACATCATCTCCTAAATTTGCAGCATTTTGATATTTAAATGCTTTTTGATTATCAATTTTAATTCCAATACCATTATTATAACAATATCCTAGTATCACTATTCCGATCCTCCTGAATATCCTCCTTCAGCTAATTGCTTATCCAATTCAAAAGCTTTATTATAATCTTTTTCAACACCATTTCCATTTCTATAACAATTACCAAGATTATATATTGCCACTATATTTCCGTTATTTGCAACTATTCACACCAATAAAAAGCCTTTTTTAAATCTTTTTCAACACCTATTCCATTTGTATAGCAATAACCAATATACAATTGTCCATTTGATAAATTTTTAATGGCCACTTTTCCATAATATTCAAAGGCTAATTTTTCATTTTTCTAGTTCAAAAACAAATAACATTCATTAACAAAATATTCTGCTAATATATGATTTTTTCCTGATGCAATAATAAATAAATTAAATGCTTTATCATTATTTTCATTTATTATAATTCCATAATAATTAAAATATCCAAGAATAAAAATAGAATTAGAACTATTTTGATTATCTAATAACCAACTATAAAATTCTTGTGAATCTATGTTATGATCATTAAAATATTCAATAATTTCCTGCCTAGCTGATTTCCATTCATTATTTAATTTATAAATTAAATCATTTATTTCATCAACTATAATGTTATAAGGAAACTTTTCTTGTTTACTTAATATTACCATAGGATCAATTTCTTTTATGTTTATTTTATCAAAATTTTGAATAAGTTGAGTTAAATCTTCATTAAATTCTTGTTCATTTGACATTTGATGATTTTCTATTATTACATCTGTTTTTGTAATTATGGCATTTAGCCAATCAACTACTTGATATATAGTTGGACGATTATCTGGTTCCCCATCCCAACATTCTAAAAGCAAATATAATTTAGCATTAATAATATTCAAATTATAAAAATTTTAAAATATAAAATTATTACTCACTGGTATAAATTTTAACATATTCATCAGGAGTATCAGGAACAACAGTTTCTCTATGACCTTGTGAAATATCCAAAGCTAAACCAATGTCATATTGTTCACCTTCAGCATAAAAAGGAGGATGCCCGCTGGATATCTCCCATAGTAATACGCCTAAACTATAAATATCACTTTTTTCATTTAATGAATACATTTGTGTTGATTGGTTATTAGTATTTCTTCGGCTACTAATACTTTTTGGGTCGACGTAAGGAACCATCCCAAATAATTTAGATTGAAAATTTGATGATGCTCCAATTCTTTTGGATAATCCAAAATCAGCTAATTTGATTATGTTATTACGTATAAGTATATTACAGGAATGCTATCAAATGTATATTCAGATAATCAATACAGGTATAATATTATTAATAATCGAATAATGTTAAATAAATTACCAAATCACGATGCACTATCCCTTCGTTATGCAAGCATGATACAGCGCAAGATAACTGGTATGCCATGTTATATTTATCGTCCCAAGTAAGTTTGTTAAAGTTTTTCTCCAAATAACATCGAAGACTACCACCGTCGGCGTACTCCATTACTAACCAATAATTATTATGATTATCTAATGAATAAAAATAAAAAAAATCATTAAAATGCATTACTTTGAATTTTAAATATTATATTTATTAAGATAACTTCGGTCAATAATACCTGACTCAAGTTTTGTTATCCCATAGCATCGAATAATGTTATCATGAAAATTAACTTCACGTTGAATTTTCAACTAAAATAAAATTCAAATTTTAAAAATTTAAAATAAGCATATTAAATAAAATCATAAATGAAAAAAATTATTTTATATTAAATTACCTCACGAACGATTTCTTTCACAATGATGTTATCAAGACTAAAAAAAGATTTTAAAGCAAATTGTTTTTCTGAATTTTTCCAATTTGCGCGAAATACTTTTCCAAAACTTCCGGTACCGATATGTTGAATATTATTAAATTTATTGTATTCATAAAATTTAAAATATTCCTTATCGACAGCTTCCTCGATCCAATTTACCCATTCATTTGTATACTCGGTATCTTGCATTTTGTGATATTATTGATGAACGTTATCAAACGTATTGAATAAAAAAAAAATAATAAGTAAAAAAATTATTAGAGTTTTATTGTGTATCCCATTTTATATACTTTTTTCAGTCGTACAAATGATTTAGTATTTACCAAACAAAAAAGCTGATCATGATGCCGCAGTAGTACCGAAGTACGCAATTTATTTAATGACGTCATCATGAAATTTCGAAAAAAAATCCGTATAAATATTATCAAATGTCGTATTGTAAAAATAATTTAAGAATTTAAAAAAATTGTTAAATCAGGCGTATAAATAGTTAGTGTTAAATTTCTTTTTTCTTTTGATGTTGCGATTAGTTGTAGTGTTCTTTGTATGTTTTGTTTTTGTTTTTGTTTTTAGTAGATAGATACTTTATTAGCAGATGCACGTCGTCTGGAACATGATGCGCAGTTTCTGCGATCATTATGTTATTAATAAAGTTTTGTTTGGAAAAAAACAAAATTATCAGTTATCCTCATAAATTCATGCAGATTTTACATAATTGTTATTTAGGTCGGTTATTTCATATTACTATGTACAGTATTAGCATAATAATAAAATTATTGGATAGTAACGGAATTTTATTATAAAAATTGCATGAACGGTCCCGCCAAACCGATAATATTATTATTGGACGATTTAAACTATATAATAGTCTAATGTGGCACGACGTGCCGCTATAGACTATTATTTAGTTTAATCAACCAATAATATATAATTTTCAGGAAAGATAACAATGCTGACGTTATTTGAAAAAAATTGAATAAATGATCCCTACGATGCGACAGTTTGCGTTTACAAAAAAAATTAATTTGTATTTGTGATATGATGAAATACCTATATAAATAGTTCTTTATGATCCCTTGTAGTTTTTTTTTTTGTGTTAGTCAACCAAAAAGTTTATACATAATAAAAAAAAATACATAGCCGTAATCTGTAGGTGTACCAAATACTCCACCATACGGCCCATACGCTATAACTAACTCCGTTATAATAACTATGAGATCCATATTACTGCTATGTATTAACTATAATGAAAAAAAAATAAAGTAAAATAGTAACTAACTACATCTGGAAATATTTTTTTTCGTTAAATCACGTGACTTAAGCCGTTGTAATTGTCTACGAATTTAAAGAGTAAACCTAATAACAAACTAATACACAATTGAAAAATAAACGATGTCCAGAAATTCAAAAATAGCCAATTTGACCCAGCCGAAATCCAAAAATCCAAACTATATTCCAATCTAATTGTCAGTCTTATCCTGTTCACCTTCCACCCTCCAACGCTTTTGACATTTTTTGGCCGGAGGGCTATTTTTGAAGCGTTTATCGTTCGCGTTCGTCGGTTCTTCTTCCTTATTTTAAACCTTTAAATTTTTCGTTGGGGATTATGAATTTTTTAACTAAATCACTTTGTTCCGCTGTACGAATAATTTCTTCGCCAATTTCAAATTTTTTATCGTTATTATGAACCCATCCACACAAAACTTCTTCTTTAATCTTATTCTCCATGGCCACCTTACTAATAGTTCAACCAAAATTTCGTACCAAATTTTTTCATTGGATGTTGTATTTTGATATCCAATTTTGCCGTATGTTCTTTTGTAGTTGGAAAATCATATTGAGTATACGCAAAATCTATATCTTCGATTTTTCCTTCTCGATACTCATTTATTATATCAATTACTTTTTTTAGTGAAACGTTATCTCTTTTTTAATTCTATTTGTGATTTTTGTAATTCTTTGTCATTCTCCTTCTCTATTCCTTTTCTAAATTTATCAATCACCTTCGCTACTTTCTCTACCGGCAACTCCATAGGATTCCGTTCCCTTATTTTATTTTCAACCTTATCTAACCCCGTATAGACTCTATTTGGTGGAGTTTTAGGTGATGAATGTATTGAAACTTCCTTTTGGTTCCTGTTGTTATGAACGTTCTTCTTCGTTTTCAACATCTCCTTACTCTCTTCTGTTTTACCACTAAAAATATCCTCACGATTTCTCACTTTTCATACTTTATTTATATCGTTTTCTTTTAGTGACTTCTCCACTGCTGCTTTCATAAAATTTTGATCGATAAAATATGCTATGATTTTCCAATTTTTTTGATATTTTAAGGATCTTTTTATATGCAATAACGTCGTTTTTATTCAGTTTTTTAAAAAGCTCATTCTCATTCTCTTCGTATACAATCTGATCCACTGTTTATTAATACCTAAACCGAAAGAGCCTCTCTCAAAAGTCTTTTTATGAGTTTCTTTTAGAAGAATTGAAAAAATAAGAATATTCTAATCTTACAAAAGTATCATTACAAAGTTTACATTTATTTTGTTAAAATATAATTTGATTTAATTTTAAATGTAATAAATGTTATTTTATGAAATAAATTCCAAAGGTTTTCTTCTCATTTCTTTCCATAAATTATAGTTCAAAATTAGAAAATTTATTCTCAAGTTAAATGAATATCTAATTAAAAGGAGGGATGATCAATGATGACTTTATAGCTATTAAAATGTAAAATTTTTTTTGCTAAAATATTATCAAATGATTTTGTGACATGAATGATAATTTTTTTAGTTTTGAACAAGATTTCAATAAATCTTCAAATTCTTCCAAAGATATCTATTCCAATTCCACCGGTAAAACTTCAATATTTAAACACGTTATTTTAATCGTGTGAAAAAATAATTTGTTGAAAATGGTGATGAGATGTATTTCGTAATAACAATGTTGTATCGATCGTATATGTTGCATTATTTGTTATCACTTCAATTGCATTATTCGTATGAGGACAAAACTTTTAGAGTATTTATTGTGGTTTGTATTAATTTAATAGCAACAAATGTTAAACCTTTCTCTGTAACTAAATTTAGTAAAGAATTTCAAATTTTGTTAAAAAAATTCCTCTTAAATTATCATCATTAGTTGGTGTGGAACGGCATGGCGTTATGTGCAATATTTTTTTTTTACTGGTGGAGCATAAGTGCATTTGTAGTGAGGTCGAAGTACTTTTAATATAATAAAAATTCGGTTTATTCTTTTCAATTTTTTATATTTTTACCGTCAACAATATATACATATATATAGTATTTTACGCAATATTTAGAATGTAATATTTGGTAATTTACTTGCATAAAAATTTTCTTTTTTTCAAATTCTAACATTATTAAACACAAAAGCCAAAAAATTATAAACATTTATATGATTTGGATTGGTTTGAAAATGTTGTGAAATCAAACACTTTAGTCTTTGTTCTTTTCAACGTGAGACATGCAGATCAATGTCACATTATATGCATTTTTGTCCTTCGATAATAAAAACCGAATTTTCCGTAGTACTAGGGCGAATTCGCCGACAGAAAATTATACATCCTATACATCCTATTCAACGGTTCATTAAATAAGAATTTGAAAAACTATAAATAAGTTGAATTTTCTATACTTACTTATACTGTAATATTATAAAATGGAACTTGTAAAATTAAATGATGAAAATTCTTTTGATCCAACACCCAAATTAAAATCTAGTCCCGTACCGATTTTTTTTATTTCTTTTAACTGGGAAGATAATTATTGTATTCATTGTGGAGAAGAATACACAACGGCGATTTTTTGTAACCAAAAATACTGCAAAAAATGTTTATTGAGTTATTTAACTAATATAACTGATAATAATCTATACTTGGACGTATATTTATTCACAAAGGATTTGGAATGTAATGAACACGAAATAAGTAGAACAAAAATACCACAAAATATTCAAGAATGCTGTAGAAATTGCTTGATAGTATTTTATTTTAAACAAGTATTTATTGGCAATAATTCGAATATGAAAAGTAATCTGTACATTTGCGAAAACGTGATTGAAAGTGAAAGATATTGTAAACTATGTGGAAAATTATTATATCAAGGAACAGATTATTATATTATGAGAGAATTTAAATTATGTTCAAATTGTTATTTAATCTCTTCTGGATGTGTAGAATCAACCTTAACTAAAAAGTTTATTTCAATTATTTATTTACCATTTTGGGAATATACAAGTACTTGTTATTGTGATAATAAATTATTATTTATATCAAACTGTCAAAAGTTTTGTGATAATTGTTTAATATTTTTTATTGGATGTAGATATTGTTTAACAACAAATATTATTTTTGGAATTACAAATCAATCGCAATGTATAAAATGCAAAAGAGTATCAACTATTATTTTTGATAGAACAAAAATTATTAGTATTAATAGTGGAGATAGCGTTATAGATGATTTTCTTATTAATATAAGACATGATTTTTTGAATCAATTGAACATAGATAAATTCGCTAACGATTTAAAAAATGTTAAGTATTTCATTCCATCCGAGATATATAATAATTCTTTACGTGATAAAATTAAAGGAAAGTTAGGAAAATTAATGAGATATATACCATATTCTAAATTTAAAAATGTAAAAAAAATAGCAGAAGGAGGATTTAGCGTCATATATCAAGCAACCTGTTACTGGATATATAGTTTACAATTGAAACATTGGAAGAGAGAAATTGTCATTTTAAAAAGATTCAAAAATCTTCAATATGCTAAAAAATATTTTTTGAAAGAGGTAAATACTTAAAAATTCGTATTTTTTATTTGATGTTTGCAAAATATTTTAATTTTAATCTCGAATTTATAGTTGGAGTCGAATCATCGATGTTATTACTTAAATTCAAAGATTATTGAAACTTTTGGTTTTACAAAAGGTCCCAAATTGGATGATTATATATTAGTTATGCAATATGCATCGGAAGGAGATTTACATAAATATTTACAAAAGAAATTTACAGAAATTAATTGGGAACGAAAGATATCATTTTTATATGATATTTTATTAGGGTATTTATATTTAATTCTTAAATATATTGATAATGATTAATTTGTAATACTAATTTAATAATCTTATTTTAGACTTAAGAATCTCCATGATTCAAATTTCATACATCGAGATTTCCATAGTGGAAATATATTGGTAAATATTTTAAATAGCTATTATGATACTACTAGTATTTCTTATAGAATAGGAGATCTAGGATTATCACGATCAGCAAATGATACCTCATCAGATGATGAAATATATGGAGTAATACCTTATATTGCACCAGAAATATTTAAAGGTTCAGCATTTTCTAAAGAATCCGATATTTATAGTTTGGGTATGATTATGTGGGAACTTACAACAGGTTGTAAGCCTTTTGCTAATGTTGAACATGATCATAGACTTATTTATAATATTATTGATGGTGTACGACCTGAAATTACAGAAGATACACCAGAATGTTATGCTAATTTAATGAAAAGTTGTTGGGATTCTGATCCAAAAAAAAGACCTTCTATAAGTAAAATTTGGGATACTTATAAGTCATGGTATATACAAATTTTAGACGCTAATCAATTTTACCAAGCTGAACTAAAAAGAGAAGGGTTAATATATTCAACGAAGCTTCCCAAGTTTAATGAAAAATCTCATCCAAAAGCTATTTATACAAGTAGATTATTAAACTCTTACATTTCTAAATGTTCATCTATATTTACTAAATGTTCATCCATCAGTTTTTCATCAAATGGTATGTACTGCGCTATTTTAATAAAAGTAATCTTTGGGTAGATGATTTTAAAATTCTTTTTTTTATAGATTACATTTCAAAAGAATTAGAATTAGACATAGATATTAAAAGGTAATTTAAAATTAAAAATATTGTTAATTATAATTTAAATCCAACAATGAAAGTCTTCAATAAAATACAATTTTATATTAGTAGTAGACTCACCTCACTTAGAATTAAGCGAAATATTGAAGAATTAAATATTCATTCTTGTGAAAATGATGGTGAATATTTTATTTGATTTTAAAATATTAATAAAATTTGTTATTTATATTTATTTATCTTTCTAATTAAAAAATAGGAAAACGCATTAAAAATTAGATCCAGTTATTCAAGAACTTTCTCTCACAAACAACAATGAAGAACTAAGCGATGCGTATATAAACTGGTGTATATCTTTTATTATTTTTTAAATTTGATTTATAAGACGCAGTTAAAATAATAAATATAGTAATATATGTTGTAAAAAAATCTTAACGGTTAATATGGACTTAACCGGTTAATTAAATCATAAATTAACTTGCAATGATTGACAAATTAAATTTTTCAAAATGTTGTTCCGTTTATAAAATTAAAATTCACTCCAACTTATCTATGAAAAAATGTAAGATTTGTATAATGAGATTCGCAAGTTTCAGCACAGTAAAGAAAATTCGGTTATTTTTAGATTTATGAAACAACATATAGTTTTACATTTATAGAATAAATACAGTATAAAAATTTTATTATTTTAATATTTTTTTTTTTTACTTCTTTTTATTATTAAATATTTTGAACTTAATATTCGTAAATAACGTAAATAACGTAAAAAACTTATCATAATAAAATATCAAATATATTTTCATATTATTTTATATTTATATTAAACTTTGACTCGTTTTGACTTACGAGTTAACTCGTCAGAAGATTCATTTTTTTTCTTATTCATAATCTTTTGATGTATTTCAGTTGCTTTTTGCTTATCGATATTTGTTCCAATTCCATTATCATAACAATATGCCAACATTTTCATTCCGTATAAATAACCTCCTTCAGCTGATTTTTTAAACAATTCAAAAGCTTTTTTATCATCTCTAATAATTCCTTCCCCATTTTTATATTTAGTACCCAGATTACTCATGGCTACTATACTTTTATTTTTTACAGCCTTTTCATACCAAAAAACGGCCTTATTTGAATCTTTTCCCGTACCTACGCCTTGACTATAACAATATCCAATATCTACTTGTCCTATAGCATAATTCCTATATGCCAATTTTTCAAAATATTCAAAAGCTAATTTCTCATTTTTTGTTGTTCCTAATCCATATTGATAAAATTTACCAACATAAGATTGTGCTAATATATGATCTTTTTCTGACGCTTTTAAAAATAATTTAAATGCAACTTCATGATTTTCATTCGTTGCAACTCCATAATAATTAAAATATCCCAATAAAAAATTCGAATTTGAATTCTCCTGATTATTTATTAACCAATCATAAATTTCTTGTGAATTGATATTATTATTTTTAAAATAATCAAGAATATGAAGTTTTCCTAATAATCCTTTATTTATCGTCTCAAATATGTATTCTGTTGTTTTATTAACAATAATTTGATATGATATATTATTTGATGAATTTTCGTTTCCGTTTAAATTCGTACGTTCATTCGTTAATTGGTTATTTACACTCGTTTTCCTCGCACCTGATTGTAAATTAATTATTCTTAATCTATTAACAACATTGTTCATAGATGGTCGATTATCTGGTTCGCCGTCCCAACATTCTAGATAATGAAATATACGTACGTCATTACTCTTTATTTTATGTAAAATATTAATTAAATAACGATAAACTTACCAGTATATAGTTTAACATAATCTGCAGGAGTATCAGGAACAATTGGTTCTCTGTAACCTTGTAAAATTTTTACAGCCAAATTATTATTATATGGTTGACCTTCTACATAAAAGGGAGGCTTTCCGCTTGATATTTCCCATAAGAGCACTCCAACACTGTATACATCACTTTTTTTTTCATCTAATGGATACAATTGTTTGTCGAATCTTTTTGGATCAATATAAGGAATTACGCCGAATAAATCTATTTTCTTCTTAGATGTCGCTTCCTTAATTCGTTTTGACAACCCAAAATCAGCTATCTTGACGGTATTTTGATAAACTATTATATTACCAGAATTCTATTAAAAAGGTTTAAATTAATTAAATAATCATAAATTTTTTATTAATAAGTATCTCAATAATAATTACCAGGTCACGGTGTGTGATTCCTTTGTGATGCAAGTACGAAACAACGCGAGCCAATTGGTACGCTAAATCGGATTTTTTTCTCCATGTGAGATTATGAAAATTTTCCTTTAAATATTCTTCAAGAGTTTCACCTTCAATATAATCCATTACCAATAAATATTTCTGAATTTTACCAAATTGGTTTTCTAAATTAAATTAAAAAAATTTTTTTTTTTTTTTATTATGGTTTTATTATATTTTAACAAAAATATTAACGACGCAGCATACCTTGATCCGCAATGGTGATCACCTGTCTCTTATACACATCTAGATGTGTATAAGAGACAGCAGCATACCTTGATCCGCAATGGTGATCCCGTAAAAATTAATAATATTTTCATGAGAATCAATTTTACGATAAAGTTCAAGCTAATTTAAATTTAAACGAAATATAAATATAAAAGGTTTTTTTTTTAAAAAAAAAAAGCAAAAATTTATTTAATTTACCTCATTAATAATTTCTTTAATGGCATTATCATTAATATTAGAAAGAGATTTCAATCCAAAAAATTGAAAATTATTTTTCCAATTTGCACGATAAACTTTCCCAAGGTCACTGGTACCAATTTCTTTAATATTCCTAAAATATTCATATTCGTAATGTACAATACGCTTCTTAGAAATAGCTTCCTCAACCCAATTAACCCATTCATTAGTTTCGGTATTATATGACATGATGAATATAAAATTTATTATTATTATTGCGGGTTAACGATAACGAGAAAAAAAGACTTTTTTTTTAAAAAAAAAATTAAATTTTTTTTTTATGCTATTTATATAAAATTAGTATGGTCGTTTCCAAGTATGGTGTCATTCTTGTTTTTTTAATAAACAAATTGTTCCTCAATAATATTAGAAGAATACTTCTTTAGGATCAACCTGTAGAATTAACAATTACTTGCAGGCGTTTTGAGCCACAGCCACATATGTAATTGAACAGGATTTTAAACAAAGAAAACTTAACCCTCTTACTTTTAAAACTCCTATATCAGGAATGTGATCAATAAATCCAGCGTTGATCAAACACCGATTATTTTTTTCAACATTTGAAATTATGATTGATAAGACTGAATTGGATTCTTTAAACATTAAATCAAATCATTGTGAAACGTGAATTCTTCTTAGGCGGAATTTTTTTGAACCATTATTTGACCATTTACCGACAAAAAGAGTGTAATTTCTGTTTGTGTAACGAAAAAATTTTTTGTGCGACAGAAATTTGTGCATAATAAGCGTAGTTATATTCTAATAATAACTATTGTTTAATGAGTTCGGTATCTGAAATTTCCTTACTGCATAATATAATAATACTTTTATTAGATATTTGTGGAAGGGAAATTTTTGACGGCCCTATAATATTTAATTGTATCACGAGGATCAAATCATTCTCCGCAGTATAATTTTGGAAATTGATTATCATTTTTGATGTAAGTTTAAAGTTTAAACGAATTTCGGAAGTTTATTCTTATTCTACTATATAAATTGGTTCTGTTAAAATCCTCGAGTTTAACTTTATAATCTTATTTTCCTTATTTGAATAAATGAAAATTTTTAACGTCCGATACATCGATTATGTAATTAACGCGTCCAAGAAAATTATTATAAATAATACCCATTTTTCCTTTCTATCTTTTATTCATTAAACAAATCTTTTTCGATTCAATTCATAATGTCACTCTCTGAAGATTGTATTAGAGAAATCATCGAATATCTTTCAGAAGATAAAAGATCATTATATTCATGTTTACTTACCAATAGATTATTTTGTCGATTTGTTATACCAATATTATGGAGAAATCCTTGGATAAATATTGATTTAAAATGTATCGATTCAAAAGAAAAAAATTATTGGAATATACTTGGAAGAACTATAATTAAATGTTTTTTACAAGAAATCAAAAATTCTCCCTTCTTATTAAAAAAATTTAATAAAGATCTTTTATTATTATTACAAAAACAACCATTATTCAATTACGTTTTATATATTCAAATAATTTCTTTAGATGTAATAAATAAATTAATCAAAGGTATATTTGGTAATATTGATGATAAAAAAATTATTCAAAAATATCAAAAAAAATTTTGGTCATTTTTTATGAAAAGATGTTCAAAAATTAAATATCTTGATATGCCAAATTTTAATATTTTTGAATTTTCTATATCAAAAAGATCATTATTATCACTTTCAATTTTAAAGATTAATATTATTACTTGTCCTGAAGAAATTATTCTTGAATTATCAAAAAATATTCATAATTTAAAACGTATTGAATTTTGTTTAGATAATATTGAATCTGAAAATTCAATTTATCATAATAGTACTATAAGTGATCTTTCGGATTCTGATTCAGAAGATATTAGTATTATGTCTGAAGAAAATTCGAAATATAATGATAATATTAGTACTTTAATTCTCTCGCAAAAAAATTTGAGAGAAATAAAATTTATTTACGTCAGATCGATGGTGAATCTTTTTAAAAAGAAAACTATCGAACATCTTTCTAATTCTTTAAGAATTCTTGAACTTTGTAATTGTACTTATTTGCCAATTCAAGCAATTACAAATTTTATTAATTTAACAGAATTAAAAATTTGTTTTCATAGTTTTGATTATAATGAAGATGATGTTAATGATAATAATTTTAAAGGAGTCTATTTATCAAAACTTGAAATTCTTTCTTTACTAAATTTTAGAGAGAAAGATTTAATATTTGTTGCTAAATTAATAGAAACAACAAAAGATACTTTAAAAATTCTTAATATTCGTCCTCATACGAATAATGCAATTGAAGTGATAACGAACAATACAACATATACGATTGATACAACATTGTTATCACGAAATACATCTCCATCACCATTGTCAATTGAATATTATCTTCACGCGATTAAAATGGTGTGTTCAAATATTGAAGTTTTACCGGTGTGGTTGGGATCGACATCTTTGGAAGAATTTGAAGATTTATTGAAATCTTGTTCAAAACTCAAAAAAATCATCATTTACGCCACAAAATCATTTAATAATATTTTAACCAAAAAAATTTTACATTTATTAGCTATAAAATCATCATCCCCCCTTTTAATTAATATTCATTTAATTGGTGAATGGAAATTCTCTAATTTAGAATTAGAAAATTTTTTTAATTTATGGAAAGAAATGGGAAGAAAACCATTAGAATTTTTTTCAAAAAATAACATTTATTACATTTATATTAAATCAAATTATATTTTTAAATATTCTAAACAATATAAATGTAAACTTTGTAATGATATATTTGATAAATTAGAATATTCTTATTTTCATCTTATAACAACACATTTTAAAAAGACTCCAATATGTTGTTGGAATGATTGTGGTAGTGATCATTTATTCAATTTTATTCAAATAACTTCAACTTTTATAACGAACAAAAAAATTTGATTTTTATCAAGATAGTTGTATATATCTTAATATAATTACTCTGTAAATAATTATGTGGATTAATACTTTTAATATATTCTTTTTACGATATGACATTTAACAATATTGTTGTTTTTCAAAATTTCTTGATGACGTCATTATATAAAGTGAAATTACTGCGTACTGCGGTATCAAGGTGAACATGTGAACATCGACTGATTGTTTGGTAGCAGGTAATACTAAATCACGCCGTACGCTTGTACGACTATCATCGGAGAAAAAAAAAATATAAAATAGGTATACACAATAAACTTTAATAATTTTTTTTTTTTCTAATTTTACTGCTAACTTATCATTATTCAATACGTTCAATAATGTCCGATAATATCAAAATGCAAGATACCGAGTATACAAATGAATGGGTCAGTTGGATTGAGGAAGCTGTTGATAAAGAATATTTTAAATATTATGAATACAACCAATTTAATAATATTCAACACATTGGTACCGGAGGTTTCGGGAAAGTATATCGTGCAAATTGGAAAAGATCAGAAAAACAATTTGCGTTAAAATCTTTTTTTAGTCTTGATAACGTCACCGTGAAAGAAATTGTTCGTGAGGTAATTTAATATGAAATAATTTTTTTCGTTTATGATTATATTTATTTAATATTATACTTATTTTTAAATATTTAAATTTTATTTTAGTTAAAAATTCAACGAGAAGTTGATTTTCATGATAACATTATTCGTTGCTATGGGATAACAAAACTCGAGACAGGTATTATTGACCGAAATTATTTTTAATAAATATGATATTCTTGTTAATCGCAAAATTCAAAAAAATGCATTTTAATGATTTTTTTTTTTCATTAGATAATCATAATAATTATTGGTTAGTAATGGAGTACGCTGACGGTGGTAATCTTCGGTGTTATTTGAAGGAAAACTTTACTAAACTTTCTTGGGACGACAAATATAAAATGGCACACCAGTTATCTTGCGCTGTATCATGCTTACATAACGAAGGAATAGTGCATCGTGATTTGGTAATTTATTTAAGATTATTCGATTATTAATAATATTATACTGTATTACTTATCTGAATATACATTTATTAATAGCACTCCTGTAATATACTTGTACGTAATAACACAATTAAATTAGCGGATTTTGGATTATCCAAAAGGATTGGAGCATCATCAAATTTTCAATCTAAATTATTTGGGATAGTTCCTTACGTCGACCCAAAAAGTTTTAGTAGACGAAGAAATAATAACCAATCAACACAAATGTATTCATTAAATGAAAAAAGCGATATTTATAGTTTGGGCGTATTACTATGGGAGATATCCAGCGGGTAACCTCCTTTTTATGTTGAAGGTGAACAATATGACATTGGTTTAGCTTTGGATATTTCGCAAGGTCATAGAGAAACTGTTGTTCCTGATACACCTGATGAATATGTTAAAATTTATACCAGTAAGTAATAATTTTATGTTTTAAAATTTTTTTAATTTGAATTTTATTAATTCTTAATTATGCTTGTTTTTAGAATGTTGGTATGGGGAACCAGATAATCGTCCAACTATATATCAAGTAGTTGATTGGTTAAATTCAATAATTACAAAAAAAGATGTAATATTAGAATATCATCAAATATCAAATGAATTAGAACTTAATGAGAATTCTTCAAGCAGTAATAATTCAGAATTGCAAGGAGATTTATCTCAACTTATTCAAAATTTTAATAAAATGAATACAAAAGAAATTGATTCTATGGCAATATCAAGTAAACAAGAAAATCATTCAACTGAAAAAGATTTTAACATGATAGCTAATGAAATAAATGACTTTATTACTGAATTAAATATTAAAGGAATTGAAAAGGAATCAAGAAAACGAGTTATTGAATATTTTTATAATCATAATATAAATTCACAAGAATTTTATAATTGGTTATTAAATAATCAAAATAGTTCTAATTCTATTTTTATTCTTGGATATTTTAATCATTATGGAATTGTAACAAATAGAAATGATGAGAAAGCATTTAATTTGTATATTAATACATCAGAGAAAAATCATATATTGACACAACAATATATTGGTCATTGTTATAGACTTGGACATGGAACTATGAAAAATGATAAATTAGCTTTTGAATATCATGAAAAAGTGGCTAATGAAAATTTATCATATGGTCAATTAAGTCTTGGTTATTGTTATGAAAATGGAATAGGTGTTGAAAAAGATTTTAAAAAGGCTTTTTATTTGTATGGAAAAGCTGCAAATGATGGAAATGTAATAGCAATATTTAATCTTGGTTATTTTTATAAAAATGGAATTGGTATTGAAAAAGATTATAATAAAACTTTTGAATTATATCAAAATGCTGCAAATTTAGGATATAATGATGCACAATATAATCTTGCTTTAATGTATGAAAAAGGAAATGGAATTACAAAAGATATAGGTAAAGCAATTTATTGGTATGAAAAATCTGCCAAACAAGGAGATCAAGATGCACAAAATAAATTAAAGGAACTTCAAAAAAATCAATAATTTATAATAATTTTTCTTTAATTATTCAATTGTAAATCTTAAATTTATTTATTTACAGAATTACAGTATTTTTTTTTTTATAAGATTATAAATATACTGCTTTAAAATATAAATAAATGGATTGTTATAATTTTATCTATTTTATATAATCATTTTTATATAGTAAATTTCTTTTATATTTTTGTTTATGTCATAATATTTTTCTTTTGAAATTAAAATGTCTTTCAAACATTAAAAGTTTAAAAATGTAAAAATAAATTATAGGGAAAAACTCAATTGTAAAAGATAATAATAAGTAAAACATAAATCTCTAAAAGAAAGTTGCTAGTCAGTTTTCGGATCATATTCTATACAAAATGATTTTTAATAGCTTTTTCTAACCTTTCTCATCAAAATAAAAAGAATAAATAAATTAATTAATTAAAAGTTTTTTAACCTTACTTATAACTATGCTTATTACTAACAATTATAAAAATGCAATGATTATTATTGAATTTTAGTAGTGTAACATTTCATTCTAATTTATTTATATTTTAGTATTTTAATCATTCAAAAGCTTTTCTTTTACGGAATATAATTCTTTCATAATATTGGAATTCCAAATCTAAATTGAATGAGAATTTTCATAATATGATACATATTAGTTAATTAGTTTAATAATATTCATTTAGATAATTATCCATTTATTTTTTTCTAATTTATCATTTGCATAGGTGATTTTTTAAAGAAAGATAAATTAAATTTTAGCGAAAATAGAATACAAAGCAAAACAATTATAAATAAGTCATATTATTTTTAAAGATAAGGGATTAGAATAAAAAGAAAATACATAATTATTATAAATATAAATTAAATCGCATGATGTAAATTATGAATAAGTCGCTTTCTTTGTTCAATTTTTTTACCTTTAAATAAAAAAGAAAACAATAGATCACTTCCAAAGTATGCATTGTATTATTAAAAAAATCTTGGAATATTTTTCAGAAATAAACTGAAGAATCTTTATATTCATGTCTACTATTTACTATTGGAAAAATAACCCGTGATAAATAATGTATTTATTTAGAAGAAAAAAATCATTGAAATTCTTGAAAGGATGGCAACTAAAATATTTTAATAAGAAAACAAAAAATTTTCTGATAATCTCATTATTAATAAAAATTTTAATAAGGTCAATTATTTTATAGAAATTATTCAATTAAGGTTAATAATTCATATACCATATAATTTCTTCAAAAATAATAATTAAATTAGTCAAAGGTGTATTTGATATTAACTGTTTACTGTTAATTAAAAATAATTAATCAAAAATATCATACTATATTAATATCTTTATCATCAATTAAAACGTGACAATTTTTGATTGGATAATATTAAATCTGAAAACTTCAATTTAATGATATCACTCCAGCGAAATTTCATTTTGGCAAAATAACTTCGGAATGAGTTTCAGTAATACGAACTTAGTGAAAAGTCTGGATTAGGGATGGCAATGGTCGGTCACGATCAGTTATCGGTCAGTCATAACCGGTTACCGGTTAAGGGCCTTTGACCGACTGACCATTTTGACTGACTGTTTTTCTGACTGTTGAACGAACCATTCAACCAACCGTTTAACTGACCATTTAACCATTTTTTTTAATGAATTTAATTAAGAACAAATGTTAAAGTGTTTTTTTTTTGATTAAATCCACTAAAGAAATGTTATAACAACTTTTTTTATTGATTAAGTTCATAAAAAAAGTGTTAAATGATTAAATGGTCAGTTAATGGTCAGTTAAACAGTCAGTTACAGTAAAATTCAAAATATACGGGAAACTTAAGAAAATTGATTGTCAGGTTGTCAGGTAGCTGGGTTACTCAGCAGTAGGTTATTTATTAGAAAAGTATAAATAACACGTGACAATCATGATATGAGTATAATAGTAAGTAGTATATCAGATTATATAATAACCCTGACAACCCAACAATCAAATTGCTCGTATCCCATATATTTTGAATTTGCTGTAAATAGTCAGTCAGAAGCCTTTGACTGAATGATATCGATCACGGTCATAACTGGTTATGATTGGTTAATAACCGTGACCATTGCCATCCTAGTCTGGATTAGAGGTCTGCAAATGGGACCTGGAACCTGGAAACCCTAACCCGGCCCAGACCCAGATCCGGGTTTAGGCCGGCAAATTTTCTTCAAAATTCACCCGGACTGGGTCCAGGCCGGCACATGAATTTTCGTCAAACCCAGATTTTTGTAATTCTGGCCAAAATCGTCTTAATTCCGGCCGAAATTAAAACTGGCCAAAATTAAGTTGGCCAATTTTTTTGTTTTTACAACAAAATAATATAATAAAAGTCCAGGTCCGGTCCAGGCTGGGTTTTTGATATTTTAAGTCCAGGTCAGGCTGGGCACTTTATGTTAATTTCCAAGTGTGGGCCAGGCTGGGTTGTAAAATAGTGGTCAATGCAGACCTCTAGTCTGGATACCGTTCAAAAATATATTTGCTAATAATAACTCAGGCTCAGGTCTTATAAAAAAATTTTGGAAAAACTTAGATAAATAATCACTTTCTAATTTTTATTCTGAAGAAACTCAAAACACGTGATCATTTTTCTGAAAAATTTTTTACAGGGAGATTATAATGTGTTTGAAGAAAGAGTTCAAATTATAATGATAATAAAACATAATATAAATACCCGCAAAAAAAATTTGAGAAATAAAATCTATACTACACGTCAGACAGTTGTTGAATCTAAACTATAGAATATCTTTCTAATTCCTTGAGAATTTTTAAACCTTGTGATTAACATTAATTTAAGTATTTAACAGGATTAAAATTTGTTTTCATAGTTTTGATTATATTAAGATGACGTATTGGGTTACAGCCATTTCAATTACGTGAAATTAACCAACACCATTTTGCTGACTTCTATTTTACCGATATGAAATTTACCTACTCCCTATATGAAAAAACTCCTATAAATGATCATTTTATTCCAAAGAAACCCAGTCCCGTGATCATTTCTGAAAAATTTTTTATGGGGCTCCGTTTCAGCTTTTCACCAAAATGCCATTTCACCGACATGTAAAATCACCGGCTTACCAATTTATTAACTGCGCCTCACTCTTTATTGCGCCTTAATTCAAGTTATTTCAAGTAGTGCTTTGATCCAGAATCCAGATTGGATTTACAACTAATCGGTAATAATTCTGGCCAGTATTCATAATGCTGGCCAGAATTAAAATTTGTGTAACATTAAAAATTTTCGAAAAATTTTTATTTTCCCAGTGTTACGTGATATTAATTTCGGCCAGAATTACTTGTAACTATAATTATGAAATTTTTGATAAACAAGATATTTTTATATACAGCTAAAGATTGCTATAGATAGATGTGTTGAGTTAGTAAGGCAATTTTTAAAATGTTAAAATGAGATTTGTTTCTTCTTTCAAAAATTAAAGAATTATTTGAATCAAATTATACAACACTAAGATTTTAATTTCTAAAAAAAGTTATTATAATTATATAAATTTTATAGTATCTCAATTTTTTGTAATTTGATCTGAATAATTTTTCATTTAAAAATAATAATTATTATTTCATTGTAAAAAAAATAATAATAAATTTTTTTTTCTTTTGAATATTTGAATGTGAAAAATGATTCTTTGTTTAGTAAATTATTATGTTTTAAACTTAGTTGACCAACATGTGATGCAAGTGTTTTTGGTGTTTTCACTTTTCAGTATTTGAAATTTTGTCTATGGTCGGATTGGTCGCACTTTAATGAAAAAAAAAATATAATAATTTATAAATCTTAATTA